CACGACGCTGCATTCCATTTCAGCAATTACTTTGCAGAGCATAATGTTATTAAATATGATTGTGAGTGTGTTGTAGACTTCTGCTCCTAAGTTAAAACAAAAATTTTACATTTAACTCCCATTAAGTTGTTAAAATACTTAAATATTCAGGACATAATTTTTGGTTTGGCAAGGATCTAATTCAGCTGTTATCTCTTAATGTCACTAACTCCATACGCATATCATTAAATATTAATTCAGGTAGGCTTTAATTTTAATTTGTGTTCAGGTAAGAAACACATATTGTAAATCTACACTTGTATATGTTATAGAAAATATTGATTAGGCTATTAATTCATCTTTCGAAAAATCTACAAAAACTATATTCTTGTAGTTTTTCAGAAATTTGCAATGTACATTTTTTATGACAAATTATGAAAAACTAATATGTTAAACAATTCACTGGATGGCCTACCTGCCTGTCCACCTACTTGCCACTTGTGCGCACTCTGCTTGTGCACTTGATGCATGAGCCAAGGATCCCCACAAGGTGTTGCAGTTGCAGGCAGATGTGTTACTGCTCTGTTTTACAGCTGCTTCTTCTTCTTCTTCTTCGGCTGTTCCCGTTAGGGGTCGCCACAGCGAATCATCTGTTTCCATCTAACTCTATCCTCGGCATCCTCTACTCTCACACCATTTAACTTCATGTCCTCTTTTAGCACATCCATATATCTCCTCTTTGGCCTTCCTCTTGACCTCTTGCCTGGCAGCTCCATCTCCAACATCCTTCTACCAATATAACCACTATCCCTCCTCTGCACATGTCCAAACCATCTCAATCTGGCCTCTCTGACCTTGTCCCCAAAACAGCCAAGCTGTTTTACAGCTAAAGCTAGCGAACTATGGCAGAGAAGCTGCCCACAGCAGCTTTCATTAGCAAACAGAGACCATTGTGACAGATCAGGCTTTCCCCTTTAGGACATGTAGCCTCCTAGGTAATGTTGTTGTTGCCAAAAGTTGTATGTGATCAAGAAGACCGACACATAGAACAGACTACATGTACATGCAGCCACGGGTGGGAAAATACTAACAGTAGTCAGCTCTAAGTGTATAGACAGGATTGTGAAGCAGTTAACTGGGCATCAAAGGCCAAATGCAGTGTTCATGTTACTGTTAGACATTAGTAATTGTTAGAGCTTAATGTGTTAGTAATGCAATTTAGTAAGATTCAAAGTCTGCTCTAGTCTGTTTTGTTTCAAGGTTAGCAGACAGAATGTTGATTCTGAAAAGTGAACCATAAGTCATTATGACACCAATTCTTTTCTGTATTAACCTTGTATTAGAATATTATGTCTGAATAAATGAATGAATGAATGCCTTAGCTATGTACCACATGACAACATACACATACATTGAGATTCTTCATTTTGTTATGACTAGGTAAAACGCAGTGGCTCCAAGCATGTGGAGCTCTAGATAAGAGATGGAGTCTCTGGACTGACTTCATCTGGGTAAGGGGTTAGCCCAAAACTTATAAATGTATTAGGCTTTGTGTGGCTCCTTTCTCCAGCAGCCAGTGTGTGTGTCTCTGGTGGGGGGAGCAACCCAGGTCGTGTTTGTAATTTTTACTTGTGGTTTAAAATAAATCAGCACTAAATGAAGAAAGACGTTCTCCTTCGTTATTCAGAACTGTCCAATAAAAGAACTGGGCTATTACATTACCAAGATGGAATAAAGCCTGTGTTGTAAATGGAGTTAGCTGGCCTTCATCTTCACGGCTCACCACCAGAAAGGACTTCTAAGGCTAACTGGCTAAAGCAGTTTAGCCATGAACCACAGGTTCCCAACTATGGTTCAGGGCCACAGATCTGAGGAGTAACATCTTATTTAAGAAAGTTATAACTAAAAAGAAGTTGGATGCTGCAGGAAGTAAAACCAGAATTAACATAGGTGTGATTTTTGAAAGACTGCGACAACTGACAGAACAAAGGGGCTGAAAAGTGATGGCATGCTGGCCGTAATTCTGCCGGACAGGGCATTATCAGTTTTGCTTTGTTTGGGGGCCATTTGTTATTTTCTTGAAATCAGTAGTAGTAGTCACTCAGCTTGTGCAGCAGTGAGCTTGCATTTTGGAGGAGTGGCTTTGGAAAGAAGTCACAACAAAAGGGTGGGATTTCTTTGGTTTTCTACTTTCAAAATCAAGCTTCCTCTTGCTGTTTTTTTTTTCAGGTTCACCAACCCTACCTTTAAGTTACATACTGTAGCTTTAATAAGAAAAGAATCCAAATTAATTCAGATCTAGCTTTAGCACTCTTGTTAATGCTAATGAACCAGTGTGAAACCTCAGCCCCTCAGGCAGAAGGCAAATAGTACCTCTAAACGGAGATACTGTATGTTTAGCTGCTAATCTGCAGGCAATCCCAGGCTGTTATTTGAGACGTATTACTGTGCTCTGACCCAGCAGCTCCCTTTGCTCTGACAGGGACCTGCTCATAAAGGTTGGATGACGTCAGAAGCGGGTCTAGTCATTAACAGCATCGCCTGCCAGCGCCGCTGCTGTTGCTCTTGTGCGTCTCGGGTAAGATTCAGACACTGCAGCGCTCGGCGTTGCACAGTTTCTCTATTATCAACTGTTTTAAATGTGCTGGTAGGATTATGAAAAGTTACTGACCCATCACTGCCACTTGTCTCTCTCCAGGAGGACTTGATATCCGTCTGTTTGCTATTGTCTTACTCTTTTCGGGACTAACATCATGGGGAGATTAGATGCGCTCCGACAGTTTAACTTCATCCAGTGGCTCAGAGATGAGAGACAGTCGAGGAAACTGATTCTGTTCATTGTTTTCGTCGCTCTGCTCCTGGATAACATGCTGCTGACTGTAGTCGGTAGGTGCATTTCTGCTTTTCTCGTATTTTGGTGTTGTTCCCCCTGCGCAACAGGTGGTCTGGTATAAGTCCGTCTAAACCAGCCGTCCGTTGCTGCCCAGCCTGCACGATGCTCTCGGAGACAGACTAAACCCTCAACTGTCTCAGCATCGAATTCAAACCTGTGTGCCAGTCCAGATATAACGATGTGCTTAGTCCCATAGTAAGATAGAGGAGGAACTGCAGGTCAGCAAACGGGAACACTGATGATGAACTGTTTAATGAATTTGATTTAGCTTTCAAATCAAATAATATTCATTTAACACAAGCTCTCCATTGACTCAACATTAAGATCAGATTTGAGGCCATCACGTGTTAACCTCAATATTACTTCAAAAGGCAGTATTACAAATAACTTCATGCACTGATAATGACCAGTCTTTCAGAATTGCTAACTGATCCACCTACAATCCAGCTGATGCAGCTGTTCCTTTAACTATGCTGTTATAACATATTACAGCAAAACTTGGCTATTGTTATTTTTCTGAAACTCGTTCTTGTGTGTAAAGCATCACCAACCATCGTCACACACCACATCCAGAGCCATACTATATGTCTTTAACAAACAAGCAGCAAAGAACCCTGCCAATACCTTTAATTAATCCTTGATTTATCCCTGAAAACAAACCAAAATCACTCAAGACTCAAGATTTTTATTTGCCATTTATGCATAAACAGACAGTCTAGGCATATAGGAATTCTTGTGCAGCTCTCCTTTGGAGTCAGGTAAGGAGTCAAAAGCCAGAAAAGAACATCTAGTCTGAAAACAAAGTTACGTAAGAGTGACATAGAATAAAAACGCATTCAAGATAAAAATGCAATACAACAAATAAGATAACAGATAATGGATGAGATGGTGAACTTCAAGTATTGCACATAGTATTTCACACAATGGAATTTGTTATGGTATTTCATTTAGTGAGGTAATAAGAGGTTATTGCACATGTTTCTCACATTTTTGTATTTGCCATCAGTTTTACTGCGGCAGGAGAAAAGCTGTTGTAAAGTCTTGTGTTTACTAAGTTTGCCAGAGATGCCTTTATTTATTATTTATTATTAAGCATTTCCAGTATTTCCCCCTCAGTTTATGTATAACCTGAAACATTTATTGGTTTTCATTTGGGTTCTGAAATATATTTACAGTAGGTGCAAATGAATGATGTGCAAAGGGATGCCTTGGAGTCAGCATTTGGGTTCGCCTCATATAAGTTGATGAATAAATGAATTGGGTTGTAATATACTGAGGGATATTCAATGGATTTTCTCGGTTTTATAGTTTAGGAAGAGTTCATGATCAAGACCATCAGTTCTCTGTTTGGAACATTGGGGCTTACAAATGTCTGCATATCTCTGTTTCCTGTTACCAGCAGCTTAAGCATAGGCCCCTGAGTGTACTGGCTGAACAATCACAAGCAACATCTGCTTGACCAGTCACAGGCCACAGTAATTTCATCTTCCCTTCTTTAGGGTTTCTTTATTTCCTTCTGGCAGCACTAGTAAATAACCCCTGAAGAGTCTTCCCTGTTCTAGGCTGGCATACAGTATGTTCAGTATGTTCCAGTGACATCTGGATTAGCGTAACACCAGTGAGCATCGATCAGTGGTCATACCATATTTCATTATATCAGTCTCATCTTGTCTCTTTATCTCTCACCAGTTCCCATCATTCCCAGCTATCTGTACAAACTGGATGAGTCAGCAGATATGGTCTTGAAGAACAACACCCTGCCAGAGCATTCTCCTCCAGAAGCCTTCCACAGCATTGTGTCTTTATATGATAACACTGTGAGGTCATCAGGCTCCAACACTACAGCCAGGTCTACTGGTCTGGTCCCTACTCTTCCCACCACTACAGAGCTGCCACAGAACTCCTCTGACTGCCCCGAGTCCACAAGCAAGCTGCTCAATGAGAATGTCAAAGTGGGAATGCTGTTCGCCTCCAAGGCCACTGTGCAGCTTATTACCAACCCCTTTATAGGGCTGCTCACAAATAGGTAGGGTATTGTCACCTCTTTGTGTTTCTATGTGGCACTATTAGCTATGTAGCATTCACAGCTGGGAGACGTAGTTGGTTAAGGGTCTTCACAGGCAACCTGAAACATTATTATTGCACACTTTCATGCACATTGTGAGCAGGTGGGGTCAGGGCTGGCTTTAGTTGTGTCCAATCAAACCAGGTCCTCTCATCCGCTTTAAAAAGCAGGACGGACACCTGACTGGCTGATGTCACTGATGTCAGGACACAGAAATATATGAGAGGAAAGATGTTTTCCCTGTGTCTTCTTCTCTTCCATTGCTAGATTGACAGGAATTGACAAAACTATTTATGTAGAAGTACTGCACATAAATATTCACCCAGTAGTCTGTTAATATCACTGGCCAGCATTTGTGCATGGAAGAAATAGTCTCAGCTCCTCTAACCAGTAGCAGTTATATAGCATAATTTAATAACTGTTACGGTCCCGCGTAGCTCAGCTTCCCATATTTACGTTTCTGTTTACCTGTTCTCTCCCCACTCCTCTGTCACCACTATTAGTCATTATTCCAGTCACCTGTGCTCATTAACCCCCGGTCCTGTATTTATACACCTGTTTTCTGTTCACACTCTTAGTATGTGTGCATGTCCCGTGATTACCTCGCTTCAACTACGTGTTCCGATCCTGCTCCATTCGTTTCTGTTTTGTTTCCGCAATTCATCAGCCCTGTTTACTCTCCGCTCGGTCAGTCTGTGTTATTCGCCGTTTTTTGTTTTTCTGTCTTTTTCATACGTAAGTCTTTAGCTCTGCGCTTTTTGTTTCGTTTACTTACTAGCACTGCTCAATCCGTTAGCCCTGCTCTGACTACCAGCACTGCTCCAACCACTAGCGCTACCCTGACTACTAGCGCTTTAGATCCCAGCTTACCTGATATCCTGCTCATCCCTCCTGGTCCTGTCTGGTCTCCTGGTCCCCTCCTCGTGGTTCCTCCCTTGGTCTCCTGGTCCCCTCCTCGTGGTTCCTCCCTTGGTCTCCCGGTCGTCTCCTCCTCCCTTGGTCTCCCGGTCGTCTCCTCCTCCCTCGGTCTCCTGGTCGTCTCCTCCTGGGTCTCGCCTGTCCTTGGTTGCTCCCTGCCTGTCTTTTGGCCATCCAGCATTATTTGTGTTTTGTTTAATAAACTGCTTTCTTCAGTTCCTCTCCTCTAGCCTGTGTCTGCAACTGGGGTCCTCACCACGTTTGCACGCAACAATAACTGCATCCAGTGTGTGAAATGCACACATGTAACATTATAAACATTTCACAGTTCACATGTTAACAAATTCTCACTTTGGAAAGTGGTTTAGGATGTGTACTTTATGCATGACAAAAGTAATTTTTCCAACAGTTGTTTACAGATAGACTATTTCACTTATAATCCACTATATCACAAATTCCAGTGGGTCACATGTTTACATACACTCAGCTGACTGGGCCTTTAAACAGCTTGGTCCAGAAAATGATGTCATGTCTTAGGAAGCTTCTGATTGGCTAACTGACATCATCTGAATCAGTAGGAGGTGCAGCTGTGGATGGATTTTAAGGCCTACCTTCAGGAAGGAGACATGTTCTGTCTCTTAGAGACGAACATACTTTGGTCTGAAGAGTACAAATCAATCCCAGAACAACAGCAAAGGACCTTGTGAAAACACTCGAGAAAACAGGTACCAAAGTATCTATATCCACAGTAAAACCAGTCCTGTATCAACATAACCTGAAAGGCAGCTCAGCGAGGAAGAAGCCACTGCTCCAAGATGCCATAAAAAGGCAGACTATGGTTTGCAGCTGCACATGGGGAGAAAGATCTGACTTTCTGGAGAAATGTCTCATGAAACAACAATTGAATTGTCTGGCCATAATGACCATTGTAATGTCTGGAGGAGAAAGGCGGAGACTCATGAGCCAAAGACCACCATCCCAAATGTGAAGCATGGGGGTGGCAGCATTATGTTGTGGGGGGGTGAACTGGGGCACTTCACATCATGAGGAAGGAAGATTATGTGGATACACTGAAGCAACATCTCAAGACAACAGACAGGAAGTTAAAGCCTGGTCACAAATGGGTCTAGTCTAAATGGACAATGACCCCAAACAGACTTCCAAAGTTTCAGCAACATGGCTTCAAGGTACTGGAGTGGCCGTCACAAAGCCCTGACCTCAATCCAATAGAAAATCTGTGGGCAGAACTGAAAAACAGTGAAGAGAGGCCAGTGGTCTCATTTCTTGGTTCCGGGAGTCTTACTGCTGCAACAAGACACAACAATGAAGAGACAAACACAGGTTAATGTGTGAGTGGAAATGGTATGAGTCACTGTAGGAATCTTTAAGGTGTGTGTGATATTTAAACTGAGTTTGAAAGGATGGAAGAACATAGATTGGCCTGCTGAAATCATTCTCACCGGGTGACATGTTTATTTAGGCTATCATTATTCATTTCAATTTTTCTGTAGAGTACTGTAAGTGCAGCTAATAAATCCACGTGCCCCTGAAGGGGTTCTGCATGGATTCAGAAGAAGCCACCCTTTGCTGTTGGTCCTAGCTGCTACTTTCAGGCTGTCTTCAGGGTGCACACAATTTTTAAATCTTTATATTTTAGCAAAAATGACATCATAATACTGTAATGTCCTTCACAAAAATGGCTTTCCTGTCTTCTCCCATCCTTTCAAATTTTGTTTAAAAATAGCCCAGTAGCATCAACATTCACATCAGTGAGGTTTTATGTCCCTGTAGTGTCACCTGATCTTGACTGACTTGGGTTCTGTCCAATCACAAGCAAGCAGTGTTGTCGTACTTCTTTCGTAATCTGAAATGCCATTTTTTTTCTTTCTGTCATTGTGTTTTCTGAAATGTCGTGTTTTGCACTTCATGGCCACCACAGACGCATCTTCAGGGCACAAATGTCTCCATTCAAAGTACACTCTTCAAAGTAAACTGCAACCTCAATGGCTCAAATAAACCCATCCATCCATCTTCTTCCGCTTATCCGAGACCGGGTCACGGGGGCAGCAGTCTAAGCAAAGATGCCCAGACTTCCCTTTCTCCAGACACTTCCTCCATCCGAGAGACATAGTCCCTCCAGCGTGTCCTAGGTCTTCCCCAGGGCCTCCTCCCGGTGGAACATGCCCGGATCACCTCCCCAGGAGGGCTCAGTGTATAAGATCAAATCTTATACACTGAACTGTAATGATTCCTTTGCTTAGGCATCTGATATGAAAATCACTACAATTAAAACACGAGCTACAGTAGCTCTGGCCAAGGAGGAACCTTTTGTGATGTGTTTAAGGTGGAGCATACGGGTTGACTGATCAATATACACAATAAATAAATATGTTTCAGTGTGTTTTGTTTATACCCATTAAGAAATGAATCAAAAACAAAACATAACCTGTGAGAACAGTTTGAAGATTTTACTAATAGAATAAGAAACAAATGTTGTTGACATTCACTTCAAAGCCTCAGTGGTTCCAGATGGGCACTTAGATGTGCTGTAATTGAGGCAAAGAACACAGAGCCATTACTGGTCCTTAGTCACCTTGTCATATGATAAAGGACAATACAAGGGAAGTCAGGCATGTCAGGTGTCTGTATGAGAATACAATGGCTCACATGTACATGACAGCTATTTGCTTTTTAATGTAAACACATGTCAACATCCTCTGGCAAGTTGAAAGAATGCTGTGTCATGCAGATACAGAATTTTTACAAATGCTTTGTGTTCACTTTGTTACATGGCACTTATTTTCTAGAAAGTCTGTTTTTATGAATGTTGGCTTTTAGGTAATAATTATGGGTTTCACAGTTTTACTATTTGCCATTTGTACACAGCTGAAGACAATGTATAACCTTCATGTAACCATACTTCTTATACAAATGTAATGTCTGCCTTTTTTGCTGTTTGTCCCTTTAGAATAGGATACCAACTTCCAATATTCGCTGGATTCTGTATCATGTTCGTCTCTACTATCAGTAAGTGCCAACATTTCTGCATTATCAGAAAATCAGTATGCTCACATTATGCCTGATGTTTCTTTGTCTATATTTCTGTTGTTCTCGACGCTGTGAAGTGTTCGCCTTTTCATCGAGCTACGCTCTGCTGTTTCTGGCTAGATCATTTCAAGGTGTGGGCTCCTCCTGTTCATCTGTGGCTGGTAAGACCTCCTGCTCCTGTTTATGTACACGTGATGTTCACAGTCAGGCAGTGTAATAAACTATATTATTTATATGTTATATATTATTTTATTTGCAACAGCTGTGAAATAAATCATGGGCTAAACTGACCAATGTTATTTCAGCTAATTTGTTTGGTAAAATGTAGTTTATGTTAGCCTGTTGGACAAGGTAGGCTGGACTGCAGCAGAATGCTTTGTTTTCCAAAAAGGTAACAGTACTGAGCTACAGTCTGTAGAAATGAAATGTGTAAGTTTGACACAAATTAAAAGCTCTAAACGCTGCTAACCCCCTTTAAAGGTTTACTTTGAAAAGTGAACAGTTACCAGATCCATTTGTAATCTATTACTCATAATGCCATTAATAGCATAGCATAGCAGGAAATGAACATCTCAAAAACATTTTAGCTGAAACATGGATAAAAATAGAGAGAGAGTGGAATGGCAAGATAAGAAAACAAACATATAGTAACATGTATAATCATTCAACTGGCAACATCTGGATCTCAGTGGACCCCCTTGCACTGCTGAGATCTTTTTACATAAATGTATCATAAATAATAAAATAAGCTGTAAATAATATCCCGGCTCTTACATTATGAGTTTATCCTACACCTGAAGCTTAGCTAATAGGATTAGCATTATGGCAAATCCCACATCCAGCTGCAGGCCATAGATTAGATTAGATTCAACTTTATTGTCATTACACATGCACAAGTACACAACAACTAAATACAGTTTAGCATCTAACCAGAAGTGCAATAACAGCAGTGCAGAGTGCACAGTATCTACAGTCTGTACAGTCAGAACTAATTTACCGATGGATATGTACAACTGATATTTACAGTGAGATATGTAGGGTGATGTACAATATACAACAGACGTTATGGATTTAAGATACAAGTAATGGATAATGTACATTAAGCTTATAAAGCACTAGTGCAATGGGATGAGATGGAATGAAACAGTGCAGAATAAGAAGATAAGTTACATGAGTGAACAGTTCAATGGATGTAAATAGTGCAAAGATAAAGATAAATATACAGTATCTGAATATGAACAGTGTGCAAATTAATACAGAGCAGTTTTCTTTGAGTATGTGCAAATTAACAGATCACTTCAGTGTTACAG